GTTGTCCGATTAATTTCTTTCTATTTTTAGTAGAGACGGGTCTCGCTCTTGCTCAGGCTGGTTTCGAACTCCTGAGCTCAAACAATCTGCACGCCTCGGCCTCCCAGAGAGCTAGGATTACAGGCGTGAGCCACCGCACCTGGCCCCAACTTACTTTATCATGAGGCTTCGGCCATCTATAGATTCGCCATCCTCTATGTCATATTTGCTTGTCAAGAAAAGAGAAATCTCAGTCTTTGAGAGTTGATTTAGTGTATTTTCCTTGTTAGGATCATTGGGGTCAACTGCTCCTTCCCCTGTAGAAAAAAACAACAAGGTTATTCTTCCAATTCACCCACTGTGATGATGGCACCAGTGAGGTTGTAGTACATAAAGGTTCTGTGGGAAAGTTAGGTGCAGTAATTGGATGGGAGACCACGGTCTTCACAAAATCCACATTCTACTATAGCTGAAGTGGCTTTTTAAAATATTTGCTTGAAACACTAAAATAACATAGGACACAGACATTCCAAATATGAATAAATTACTAAAAGACAGAACTGTTAATAAAAGAAATCCTTAGAAAACACAGTAAGGAATTTCTCATTTTCTAGTAAATTTGGTTCTTTAATGATATTTTCTTTATGATCCAGGTTGACAAATCTTTTTGGATGTATCTAGAGCTTGCCTTTAAGAATATCAAATTGTTACAATTCAGGACACTATCAATTACAGAACTCTTGCTATAGGAAGGAGCAAGTGTAGTTATTATCCTTTAAATAAGCTTAAGTATCAAATTCCCCCCCATTTTTTTTTTATCTAGGATAGGAAAACCAAACAACAAACCAAACAACTAGACAAAAACGAGGGGATAAGCAGAAGGAACAAGGTCTTACCAAGAAAAGATTCCACGGTAGGTACCTCTCCCAGCAACCCCAACAACTCACTCAGTAAGTCATTTTTTTCAGGGGCAATCGCGTCCTGGTGTTCCAACAGGAGCTTTATGTGGAAGGCAACACACACAAAGGTAAAAGTAAATTCTCAACTGCTACCATATTTATATGGTTCCCTAATTTTTCATGGTAACTTGTTCCTGATACCCTTTAAATCTTAAATACAAGTCTGACATTTATTAAACTTGGGGACCATCGAAGAGAGAGTTTTTGTTTTATCTCAGAGGGAAGTGCCTACTCTACATCAATTAATTGTAGCAAGAAAGGTGTTCATAAACCTTTTTCCAGCAAGATCTGGCAAGGGCAGCCTTCCATCACCTAACCTCTGTGCTCCACTCTACCTTTATGAAAAAAGTCAAAGCTGCAGGGAAAGAGTCTAGAATGAGGCAGAAGTCTCTCACCTAACACTGGTAGCAAACTGGAAGTGCATTTCCGTGTCCCTTCAAAGAAAAATTATGCAGTAATAAAATACATTTATTATTATTTAAAATCACCATTAGCTATTTTAATCTGTCTTCCTCTTTCATGGGTAAGGATGGTGAAAATGCCTGTGACCGAGATGTACTGGATGGTTCCCTCTTTCCTGACCCCAAAAAGGCTCAAACATGAGTAACAACTGCTGGGGTATCTTGCCAGGTCTTAGAGGATACCTGGTTAACTCCTGAAGAATAGCAGCATTGGATGGAAAACCATGGAGGATAACACATCTGTTTTTGTTTGCATTTATAATTAAATTGTGTACAAGGGCTCCATTTTCTTCATTTTGTTAACACTTGTTATTGTCTCTTTGATATCAGTCATCCTAATGGATGTGAGGCACTATCCATTGTGATTTTGATTTTGTTTCCTTAATTATTAAACATCGTGATGTTGAGCATCTTTTCATGTGCTTTTTGATAATTTGTACATCTTTGGAGAAATGTCTATTTAAGTCCTTTGCTCATTTTCATTGGGTAGTTTTCTTATTGAGTTGTAGCAGTTCTTTATACAGGTGAGATGTAAACCCTTTATGAGATATGATTTATGAATATTTTCTCCCATTGCATAGGCTGCCTTTTCACTCAGTTGATTATATCCTTTGATGTATAGTTGCCTATTTTTAAGTTGGATTATTTATCATTAAGTTGTAGGATTTCTTTGTATATTCTAGATACAAGCCCTTAGATATATTATTTACAATTATTTTCTCCATTCTCTCAATTGTCTTCTCATTTGCTTGATGGCATTGTTTATAGCACAAAAGTTTTCAATTCTGATGAAGTCCAATTTCTTTCTTTTGCTGCTTATGCCTTTACTGTCATATCTAAGAAACCACTGCCTACACCAAGGTCACAAAGATTTATTCCTATGTTTTATTCCAAGAATTTCATAGTTTTAGCTCTTACATTTAGGTCTATGATCTGTCTTTAGTTCATTTTTTGTACTGGAGAGAAAAAGGAGCCCAACTTCATGCTTTGGCATATGGATTTCCAGTTGTCCCTACACCATTTGTTGAAAAGACTATTTTCCCACTGAACTGTCTTAGCCCCTTGTTGTAATTAAATTGACCACAAATTTGAGGGTTTATTTCCAGACTCTCAATTCTATCCCATTGATCTGATGTCTATCCTTATGCCAGCATAGCACTGCTTTGATTACTGCCTTTTCCATTCCTTTTTAAGCCTTAAGATTAATGGAGGATAGAGTGTGTTTTATGCTAAATTTTCTTTAACACTGAAGACTTCCCCGACACTTGCTAATAGGGTTTTTAACAAAGGCAGAGTACACCTTACATGCATAGTTTTAAGGCAAGGAAGGGACTGTATCCAATTATTTTGTTTTCATTATACTCATTTTCCTCTAAAGTTTCTATTTTTTGCAAGGCATCCTAGTTTTTCATTATAATAGAGGTACTTTGTTCTAAATCAAAGAAATATGCATTATTTTTAGAACAGTAAGTTGATTCAAAGAAAGACGTTAAATAAATAATAGAGGTGATAGAAGACACAGTGAAATCTGGAAGGGTGGTACATACAGCATTTTAGGGGGGAAACAAGTTAGAGAAAAGAACAAAACAAGCAAGAGGGAAACATGCTCTTGTTCTCTGAAGAGACAGGACAGCTGATTTGGCTACTGTCTTTGGAAATGGATGATTTAAGTGGCCAGCTTTTATGCTTTATTCTCATAATTATAGAACATAAAAACATTCCTGAAAATATCTCCTTAAAGAGCTTATTTTGAAGTTGCACATATTCCTTAGAGAGGGAGAGGCAAGCGTGTCATCCCCAAGCTTGGTCAGTCACACTTCTGCCGTGCTTACGTCTGCACGTGGGTGCCTCCACACATAAGACAGACAGTAAACAGGACAGTCTTTCTCTGTAATTACACAATTTCCCCTCGTTACATCTGTTTCCAACCTAACACAGGAAGGAATTCCAAATCAGTCACAAGCTCTGTTTCCCAGGACTGGATTCTGTTTGCAATTCTTGTTAACAAAAGGAACAGACTGTTTCTCCTTGAAGATGAGTAGTCTAAATTAATACAGTAACATTTTTCCTCTCTGCTACCCTTGGGAAAGAATCTCTTACTCTAAAAGAAGAACTCCTCACCACTTTTTTTTTTTTTGGCTGTAGATATTGCCCTCAGCAAATGTGCAGCTAAGATGTGCACATTTTTTCTGAGAGGGATAATGTAACATAAAAATAGAAAAATGGGTCATTGCTCAAGTGTGAATCAATCTATTTGCTCATTAGAAAATTAGTATTGTAAATGGTGTATAGCTGAGCACCACTGTGGATTTTGGGTGTTTATACGTAGAGAAAAGAAGGTTAGCCTATTCATTTAATCAAGAGCTTGTTGCAAATGTCAGAGAAGTTCTCTGTTCCAACCCTAAAAAAGGGAAATCAAAACTAGATCCAATCTTTCCCTCAAGCCCACATTCAAGCTTTAGTTTCTTAGAAGAGCTTAATAATAAAGACTGAAATTTTAAGCAGCCAATCTGCCACTTGTTAGCATGTCTGGTTTGATGGGGGCAGGAGCACGACCTTTGAAAGGTGTGTATTATGCTTTCCCCTTAGTTGTCTGTATAATCCAAAGTTGGATACAGCCTTAACTGAAGCATCTAGAATGCTAATGTGCATCTGCATCCCCTGGGATCTTGTCAGAATGCAGGTTCTAGTTTGGGAGGTCTTGGGTGCATTTCTAACATATCCCCAGGACCTTGCTTTCACAAGCACCATCTGAAATGATTCTTGAAAAGATTACCCTTTAAAACGTAGATTTTTCAGGAAATAATTTCCAGTTGGCCTTTAAAAACCAAAACCAAAACCCCTCAATGCTTCGCTTCTCTGTTTACTTTAAACGATTGAAAAGCCATCTATCTGAGGCTTCCGTGCCCCCAATGGCACTTAACATATGCTAATGGCTGACAGTGATGTTTATATGGGAACCAGATGGAGAAGTTACAACATAGCACAGGGTGGGAAACTGCCTGCTTCCAAGAAATGGGGGCTTCAAAAACAATGGAAGCGATTCTTTGCAGGAGGCTACTGTCGGGTGGTGGTTTCCTGTCTTCCTTGAGCAGCCTGTTTACGACCAATGCGCAAACATTAGAATACAGAGAATATTCTCACTTCCCCAGAAAATCACTGGAAAACCTGAGAGGATTCCTGAAAGAGGGGAACAATAGAGTGTGGGTCTAGATAGCACAGCTTTGGTGGGTGGGAGAACACCAGGGCCTGTCCCTGCTCAGGGCTTCAACTCTGTATTTACAATCTGGGTTTGTACATGGATCATGTCAAAAGTAAACTTTCTTCTTTGTGAGAAGGCGTTTTATTAATACATAAGAGCCAGGGGATAAATAAATAATCAAGGGATTTTTAGAGTTAAGAATATGAATATTAGCACCTGTGCATAGTAAGTTTGCAGAGACTACACATTTTCAAGATAACAGACTCTGAACCATGGGTCCACGGCTAAGACCCGCTCCCCCCACCCCCACCCCACTTACCGAATGCGTGCTGATGATTTCCTCAATTGAAATATAGATGACTGGTTTGCTGACTGTCACCAAGTCTGTGTATTTGTCCATATTAAACTTCTCTTCTGGCTCAGGGACATTACATGCTTCTTTGAAATATTTCCTAATAAAGGCGGGAAAAAACTCTTTAAGATAGAGGCAAATTTGTGAGTTAAATAGCTTCATCGAAATAGTTAGGAAATTTTGAATGATGGCTAGTATCTGTTCTCCTAACCCCAAGCCTTGCGGGGACTTGGTATAGCTTCTTCCGGCCTGGCTCCTGACTATGAAAGCTGAGTCCACGGATTTGGATGTTGAACTCAGCTCTTCACATGGGATTGAAGAGAGTGGTAAGGACCTGTGATCGAAGTATGCGCAGGTCATCTTAAAAGTATTATTATTCCAAAAATGGCTCCTGAAGTTTAAATTAAAAAGCCAAGAAAACTTCTTGATCTGAGAATCAAATCTTTATAGAGAACACAATCCAAAAAGCAATTCATCAAATTTGCTACCGGCACAAGCTCCTGGGCCTACAACACCCTAATTACCCTTCAGAGCTTCTGTAACCAGTTTGACAAAAATTAGAGTTAAGTCTACTATGGTATTAGTTGGTACAGACAATATTTGCTGACCACTGGAAAGACTGTTAAGGCCACTCAAATACATAATATGTCTCAGTACTCGGATCCTAAAAAGGCTGCTATTTGAAGATATAGCACATATAGATAGATCAAGAAAAGCCAAGCATGGTAACAGTTTAGGAGTTGTCCCATGTAGTTTTTGTGCAAACCACTTTTGCATAGGTAGAATATGTATTTTACTCTATAAAGTTGTAAAGGTCTCATATACCTGAAATCATCCTTGTTATTTCTCCTATGGGAACTCGAGGCTCATGTACCAGAAATGACTTCTGCCTTCCTAGCCCAAGGCAGGCAGCCATGTTGGGGTGGAGCATGTTTCCACATGACAATAGGTCTTCCTGTGCTTTTTTTCTTTTTTTTTTTAGACAGAGTCTTGCTCTGTTGCCCTTGGGTAGAACGCAATGGCATTCATCATAGCTCAATGCAACCTCAAACTCCTGGGCTCAAGCAATCCTCCTGCTTCAGTTTCCTGAGTAGCTGGGACTACAGGTGCATGCCACCACACCTGGCTAATTTTTCTGTTTTTAGTAAAGCTGGGATCTCACTTTTGCTTAGGTTGGTCTCGAACTCCTGACCTCAAGCAATCCTCCCACCTCAGCCTCCCAGAGTGCTAGGATTACAGGCGTGAGCCACCTCGTCCAGCCTTCTGAACTTTGGTTATGATATCTGATGGATTTCTGAGGACCATAATGAATAAATAGGAGTGGAAGGGAGAGGATGAATTTAAGAAGAGGTAAAGGGAGGCTTCTTTTCGGGGAATATTTTTCACAAAAGGCCATGAATTCTAAAGAGAGATGAATGATCATGAACTACCTTTGTAGCTAGTTAAGTCACTAACCCAGAGGAAAAGTGAAAAACGGGAAATGATTTTCCAGGTGAGGACCAAAAGAGGCCAAATTCATGCTATACTTCCAGGATCTACTGATGAAATGGCAGACAGAACAAATGCCAAAAGGAAAATTTCCTCAGAGAGCTTCGGGATGAGTGAATCTTACTACTGGACTCATGCTTTTCTTCTCCATGGGGAATGATTAGTGATATAACTTGGAAACACAAAGTCAATAGAATTAAACCTGATGTGTATAATTAAGAAAGGCTTCAGAACAGAACAGATTCACACACAATCAACAAATATAAAATTTAGGTTTTCCTAACCTTTCAAAATCAAATGCTCCCTTTTCCTACTATAGTCAGCCCTTGGTATACATGGGGGATTGCTTCCAGGACCCCCACCCCCAAGTATACCCAAATCTGCACGTACTCATGTCCCATAGTCGACCTTACAGAACCTGTTTATACGAAGTCAGCCCCCTGTATACATGGGTTTTGCATCCCATGAATGTACATATTTTCCATCTGTGTTTAGTTGAAAAAAATCCGCATGTCAGTGGACCCAAGCAGTTCCAACCCCTGTTGTCAAAGGACAGCTGCATTTGATTCAGGTGAGGCAAGTTCTTACTGATTAGAAAACTTAAAAAAACCATCACCTTCCTCTGAAGTTCAACAAAGCAGAATCAGCTATTCTGATTTTTAAATTCTAAGTACTCCTAGTGTGTAGCATACTAGGAAGAGTAAGTATTCCACTGTGTCAATAGCAGGAGCCATACACGTAGGAAGGACTCAGCATAACAGGAGGGCTGCGGTGGGGGTGGGAAGGAGACACTAGGCAGAAGCAGCCCTGCCTATTCTCCCCACCTTCCCTTTCTCCCCGGTGGCAACTGGTAGAAGAAATGCATGCGGCCACCTGGGGTTCAACTCCAGCTCTGGGCACAGAACACATGCTATTCTTGCCATTCTTGCATGTTTCTCTAAAACCAATGGCCCCTCTCACCTGAATTCCTGGTATGTCTTTGATAAATAATCGTTCATAGATGAGAGATGCTCATTTTCTCCTTCAAACAGCTTGTTGGAAGCTGCATGCTGAAGAACCTTGGCCACGGATCCTAAGTTTCTCCTTTGGTCAGAATTTATCTGGCCTCCGGCCGTCATGTCAATGATGTCAAAGCCATCGGGAGCTAC